TTACACAAGACAACAAATCGTTATGACATCATAAAGTGGCCAAAATCTGATCAGCTCATTTTCAGACAGGTTTTTATAGAAATGGATCAGGACAAAAAGAGAGAATCTTTGTTCCTGAAACTTCCAGAATCTCTTTCCACAGAGGGGACACATGTTGATGTAGAAGAGACATGAAGAAGAGGGGACACATGTTGATGTAGAAGAGACATGAAGAAGAGGGGACACATGTTGATGTAGAAGAGACATGAAGAAGAGGGGACACATGTTGATGTAGAAGAGACATGAAGAAGAGGGGACACATGTTGATGTAGAAGAGACATGAAGAAGAGGGGACACATGTTGATGTAGAAGAGACATGAAGAAGAGGGGACACATGTTGATGTAGAAGAGACATGAAGAAGAGGGGACACATGTTGATGTAGAAGAGACATGAAGAAGAGGGGACACATGTTGATGTAGAAGAGACATGAAGAAGTGGATTTTGCACGATGGGTGACCTTTAAACAGAAATAGTGTCTTCTTTCTGAATGTGATTCTCTGACCTTGGGTGGCATGTCCTCCTCTCTCAGCCAGGCGGTCCTGTCCCGATCCCTGTCCCTGTCTCTGTCCCGGTCCTCCCTGCCGGCGATGCGCTGCGGGGGTCCGGGGGTGTCAGAGGTGGGGTCCGAGTTCTGGCGGGGCATCTCGGGCCTGGGGGAGCCAGACACGCTGACCCCTTCACTCAGAGCTGCTGAGCCCGTCTGATCCTGCAGGGACTGAGAACCGGACATGGACCCGGAGTGGGTCTTCACTGGGACCAGGTGGGCCATCTGCAAGATGAAAAAGACAGAAGGAGGCATGAAGGAATCGTGTCAGATGGGAGAAAAGGTGAAATGTTACGGAATAAATGGTAGAAAATAACATGAGATTAATAAAAATAGAACAAAAACGAAAGTCAGAAAGGAGGGAGTGATGAAAGATTTAAAAAGGAGGCTTGAATCTTTAAATGTTAACAAGGAGTGAAAAGATTTGTGATTATTTATGGCACACCGAGCATTCGCACGCCTCCATTTATGCACGTGTACACACACACCTGTGGTTCAATGGAGCGGTGGATGGGTGGGGTGCGGGCGGGCTGCATGCCCCCGCTGCTGAAGGACTCGGAGCGGGGAGGGAGGGAGGGGTCGGAGATGCGGTTGGACACTTTGGGCTGCAGCGCTGGGGAGCTCTGCCTGTTCAGCTTAGATCGCTCCTCCACCTGGGACGGGTCACATACCACTGTCACTCACAGCCAAGCACACGGCAACAACCAATCACCACCGTCGGTATTGCCCCCATCCCCATGCATGGTTACAAACCAAACAGACATCTAAACATCACACTGTGGGACATCTCTGTGTTTTTGTTGTCAACTGCCACTTATTTTTTTTTTTTTTACGGCCTCACTATGCGTCATTACACACTTGGAGCAAATACAGACTTCCAAGGAACCTGCCAAATGTCTTAAGTCTGGCAGGTTGTTGGCACCAACATTACATGCAATGTTTTGGTTGTTTATCATCCAACGGCTTCTCTGGTCAGATTGTATTCGATGTAACTCCCATTAAATTGTTGTGTTTTCGTTTCTACATGTCCCACAGACTTGAGTTGAGGAGTGTCTGATTGCTGTATGCAAAGGTACCGAATTATCCCAAATCTTTTTAAGCAGACACCGCATTTAAACAAAAAAATCATAGTTTTGAGTCCATGCGGAGCTATGAAACCATGTTTGATTTTTATGTTCATAAGAGCTTCAGTGACTTTTTTCACAGAGCTTCAATGCAAACAAGCACCAAATATCTGTGAGTGAGGACGACAGAAAGCTCCCGTTTCCAGTGTAATCAGATTATCAGATTATCTGGTGTGCAGCGAGAGAAGGCTCTGAGGAATGCTCCCGGCTGATAAAATCACACTTTTCTTCTCTGAACATCGTCTACTCAACGGCTGTTGGACGGTTGAGTCGTGAGTCGTGTCTCAGCATGGCATAGAGTCAATAGCCCCCAGTTAAACTTCCGTATGCAATGAGAACTATCCCATTTGGAGGCTTTCTGTAATTCCACATGAGTCCATAATCTTGTAGGATTATTCAAGATTATGACCCGGGTCAGAACAACTATGGAATATTGTCATTCTTCAAATATTTGTTAGTTGCCTGCTAGCGAGTCAACTACAGTGAGGCAACTATGGTATTCGGTGTCAGAAATCATCTCTTGTTAGTGGTTCACTCGGGATGAACGCCAACTACTGGTGAAGGAAAGAAGTGTAGATAAACAGCAGCTCAGTACACAGAACCAATGAAAAATAAATATTTGGTGAGTGAGGAGAAGCACTGCTGTGATCCAGGTCGAGTTTAAGCTGTGGAGGCGATCAATGTTAGCATAAACATCAACTGACCTTCAAACAGATAGAGAGATTGCTACTGGAAGAAAAACCTTTTGGGTGGTGCTGATCAAATATTTACACGTTTTAAGCCTACCACCCAAAAGCTCTTTCTTCCATGGCAGAGTTTCTAAGAGGTTAAAACAGAGCATTAGGGGATGTTAATAGAGGTCACTGTCGCATCAAAACTAAGAAAGAACAAAGAAAAAGATTAGTAAGGAGAGCAGATGGAGGACATCCTCTGAGGATCCAGGGTTGTTAGAAGGATCCCACCACCAATTGGCCAGCACCCATCACCAAGCCGGGATTAGATCGACTGGTTGACTGACCTAAAAAGAAGTTTGGATGGGTGGGTTTCCCCGATGACATCAACAAGAATGTGGAGTGGGTTGGCCATGGTGCTTTTTGGGG